AAAAGGTTGGAGACCCCTGTTATAGAACGTTACATTTGACAATTGTAAGCTTGGCCTTGTTCAAAGTGGGGAATGAAAGAAAAAGGTTGAGAACCACTGCAGTAGAGGCACTAAATACTAATATACACCTACAAATTAGCATTATATGTCCTCTTTAAAAACATGTAATGCTGAAGACCTTGAAAATTGGGACATGCTTTTTCTGTTTGCTTTTTCCACGGAACAATGGTAGAGGTGGAAAGGTTGTGAGTGTTCTGTAAATACTGCTGCGTGCACTCACAATGACAGATGTGTAATGTGTGAATTACAGTGGGTGTACATGAGTGTTTTAACACATCAAACAAACAAAACAAAACCAGATGGGTTATGGAGCAGTGCAGACAGATATTGCTGAATCAAAGTCTTTACATTATGAACCCTTTATCATACTACGGAGATCTACATTAAATAATGCAAACAGCTGGAAGCTCATTTTAACTCTGTCTCTCTGTCCCTCTTTAATGCTCTCTTTCGCACTCTCTAACAATGTATTATAAGTTTAGTATAAATAGACCTAATGGGCAGATTAAATTACCGCCTTGTCAAAGTTACAGATGAGATGCACCAGAGATGACACGATTAGCTTTTGGCTGAAATGGCAGCGATCAGAGCTCAGACACATTCCTACTGCAGGAGAGGCACAAAATGAGCTACTAATTCAGATCAGACTGAAAGGAAATGAGAGGAAGAAACAAGTATATGTTCCCCGTTACATCTGCAATGTACCGTAATTAGAATGACATGCTGTCTGATTTTGAAATTATTCAACAAGAATTAAGGCAGTGTAATTATTTTCACTGAAGCGAGAGCAAAACCATGGCAAAAAAACAACAATGTTTTCGAAAATGTAAATGACAATTTTACACCTTCGTGCACTTCTAGGCAAAAATATAAAGAATAGATGCAGTTAGTGACTAAAAGCCTGCCTTTCTTCAAAATAAAAATATCCCATTAACTTAAATCTGAACAAAATACGCTTAAACACTTAAATTCGTTTTTGGTTGGTGTTATATGTGAGATTTTTTTGAGGCAAAAGGTGCCACAGTGAGGCTGCCTTAACATCTACAATTCTAACGGAGAGAGCCAAAGAAGCTTTTTTTCCATTTCCGTTTGTATGCTAAGCTAAGATGAGCATCTTCTGGCTGTGGTGAACGAGAGGGTAATTGCATTTGTCATCCAACTCCTCCAACACATTTCCAATGAGTGGAATTCGCATTGTGCAACTGTAAATAAAAAGCAAGACAAAGAGGCTGAGAAGGTAACGTTTCTTACCTTGACAAACAGCGCGCCCTTGGCTGCTAGAGCGTCCTCCGCCCTCCCGTTGGGGTAGCACTCGAAGTGAGCGTCCAGGATGGGGTACCGGCTGGCCAGCATCAGCCCACTGTTCAGGAACTTGAACCTGGAGCAGCATCCTTTCCAGCCGTAGCGGCCCACATCGCTCAGCACGTAGGGGAAGTAGCGATGCAACTGCTGCCGCAGTTTAGTGGTTGATCCGTGGTCGAACACTTCCTGTAGAGCCAGAAAATCCAAGTTGGCTGGGAAGAAGGCGGAGATCTCGTGGTCGAACGTCTCGTCTCCGTGGCGACGTTTTCTCCCAGGGCGCTTAGAGACTGACGTGCGAGGGACGTGAGAGAGAGTGTTGTTGGAAGATATCCCTACACCGTCACCGCCATGGTAACGGGTGAGGGACTCCCTGGAGGCAGTCATGCTGCCCGTGTCTCCCCCCGCCGGCTCCCCACCCCAGTGGTTCCCTGTCTCAGCCTCCTCCTCCTGAGGGTCTGGCTCTGGGGCGCTGATGCTGATCTGAACCCCTGAGGTGTGAACAGGACAATCTGAGGAAGGTTTGGTCGGGGTCCCTTCCCCATGCATGGGACAGTCATGATGGCCACTCTGAGGCCCTGTAGTATGCAGGGGGCAGTCCGGACCCTCCCCCGGGGCGTGGACAGGACAGTCTGAGCTGCCGTTGGTCTCTGCGGAGTGGAGCGGGCAGTCCGCCGCCGTGTCCTCTCCCTCTGGGTGCAGGGGGCAGTCAGAGGAACCCTGGTCTCCTGTAGAGGGGTGGACGGGGCAGTCTGGGGCACCTGAGGGGTGGATTGGGCACTCGGTGGGGGGTTCTGTTTCTGTGTCGGCCGGACCGTTGGTGGTGTATGTTTGGTCCGGACGCTGGTCCAGAGAGGAGGTACGGCGGAACCCTGTGGCAAGGCTGCTGAAGGAGACCGCACTGAGGACGGAACAGAAAGAACGATTTATTTCATTGGAATTTATGATCAAAGTAAATGTTTTTAATCCCTTTTTTTACTTTTTATTTATCAGTTTATTTCATTAAACAGATAAACTTTGTTCAGAGTATAAACTCGTGTTATGTATGTAGCATAGATAAAACAGCTGAGAAAACATGAAAAAGAAGATACAACTAAAATACAAAACATAAAAAAAACTAAAAAGGACAAACTAAAAACTAAGCAGTAATATATTTAGAGTTAAATTAAAACGGATGACCTGACAATACATAGAGTTCATATTTTGTCAAGGGTCGAATAAAACCGAGGGATGATTTCACAAATATTCATACACTGTTCATATACATACATACACACTTACTTGTAAACATATACAAATGTATAAATATGATAACAATGTATACTGCTATGACATAAGTGAAAGCACCCAAACTCTCCGTACCTGATGGAAGTGTTGGTCGGTGAGTCGATGTAGATTTTGATCTGAGGGCGACTGGCTCCGTTGCGGATCCTCTTCCCGACCTCGCGGGCCCTCCGGTGGGTGTCTGACAGATTGTTGAACCTGGCCAAGGAGTCGGGCAGCAGGCAAACGTTGGCGCTGCAGAAACAGAAGCTTCGTCCCTGGGGCCTCCATTCCCCGACACCCGCCGGCCCGGCCTGGCCCTGCTCGGCCTGGTGTTTGTCTGGTCTGCACAAGGTAAGCAGCAACATTATATATCAAGTCAAACTGTGAGGAACACAAATCGCTATTAAGCTTAACTTATATGAAAATAATATCTGGATTTTAGAGAAACATGGTTGTTAACTTTTTTGGGCGGGTCACATAAGTAGATACTCTCATGTCCGTATGCTAAACATGAAGGTTAAGCCAGCAGACATTAGCTTAGTTTAGCATAAAAGACTAAAATGGCCCGATCAGCTTCTCTGGGCTCTAAATATCCCATTTTATTAAAGTCACCCTTAGTTTCTGCCTGTAAAGTAACATTAATGGTACAAATCGACATGCATATTAATGTGGAATAGTGTTTTCACTAACTTACAATACAGTTATGGTCACTGAAGCCTCCATTTTCACACATTTCTTTTTTTTCCCTTTCTGATTCTGTTATGTGGTTGGCCTCCTTATAACTCAAATGTATTTGTATTTTATCATGTTTTTTTAACCAAGATCTGACTTATTCCATAGAAAACACTGCTATTTTGATCTCATATTATGGAAGAATTAGTATAACATTCAGCATCATCACATCAATGTTGGGACAGCATTGGAAACCAACAGAGATAACAAAGGGAATGTCACATTTAACTTAGGATACCACTAGAAAAGCAAGTAACCCAGAGAGAGTGCTGCTCTCCCACAGCTAACAGGGCTTGAACAGTATTTCAAAGTGTGTGGTTATAGTGGGTAGCCATTTTGGTTTGTGTTTGGATAACCAAACGCTCGCTGGAACTGATTGAGCCTGGCAGCTGGAAGCCAGACCCATAAGCAAACTATTTACAGTAGATAATGACTTCATTTTCTGCCTCATCAAATCTCCAAACCTTTGGAACGACTGGCACTGTATATAACATGAAGCATGACTCTGCAACTGAATGGCTTATTTTTCACTTCAAATAGATTGGGAAAATCATTGTGAGGCATGGTACAGGAACAAATCGACAATGAATCGAGCTCGCCTGGAAACAGCCCATTTGAAAATTGCGAACGTCGACGGGGGTGGCGGGTGGGCGCTAGTATGTTAACCTACATGTAGCCTACAGTATGCACAGGAATCTTCCAGATAGTTTGACACTACAGTTACACTAGGTGTCTGTTACGCCCATTAGTTTGAGTTATTACTTGTTTTTTAGGAAGCCATCTTTTTTTATGGAGAACATACCTCACCTAAAGGCCTCAATCTTATCACAAACCCTACTCTCCAATGTATCAATCACAATTCTTACCACACTGTGTAGTTCCAGTACAAGTGACATTATTTTAAGAAGCTATATGCATACTAATGCTGAAAATTGTTATCACTAACCTGCGGTAGGTGTACAGGTACGGCTGGCGGACGGCCTGCAGGGGAGCCCAAATGAAGAAACCCAGCAGGGCGAAGGGCAGGGAGGCGAGAAAGAGGAGCAGGTAAAGGGGTGCGGTGATCAGCACACATAGGGTGAGGAAGGAGCAGGGGTCCTGGGAGCGTTGACGCTTCTCCAGAGAGGTGGCCACGCAGGAGGCCAGCAGCTGGTCCAGGAGCCAGTAGCAGGGGAACACCAGGCTCCACGACAGGCCATCCAGGAAGTGCAGACAGGCACTGGAGTAAGGGGTGGTGTGGAGGACCATCTCTTCCCTCCTTTCTCTCTCTTTATTTCTCTCTGTCACTTTCTCCACACGCTATGTCCACACCGACATACACGCTCTTAACAAGCTTACACAAATCTGTTGCGGAGATAAAAATAAACTGAAAATAAATTAAACATAAATCAGACTAAAATGCAGACCCTCCCCCCTACTTGCAGAGAGGTACACTACATGTTTTGTGTGTTTTTTTTCTCTTCTTCACAGGCAAGATGGTCTCAGTAATACTGCCCCTCCCTCAGTAATTACACCCTCTGCAGGGGGCGTCAAGGAGGGCAGTCTGGAGGTAGGTGGTTTCCATGATGAGAGCGTTTCCGTTGATGATGGATCTATGATTGCGAGGACTCCAATGTGAGGGGGCGGCCATTAAACATCACCCTTTCCCCAGGACCTGTAGAAGTTAAGAGAATAAGGAGGGGGAGGAACAAGAGGCAGGAGATCAGTAATTGGCTTGACATAAGCATAGGACCAAAATGAACCGTGTACCCAAAATAATCTTATTCTGTTTAGGTGTGTTTGTTTTTTGATGGGTCATCCAGATGTTCAGTAATGCTATTGCCTATCAAACTTAGTTCATTTAATTAAATTGTTTCCTAATGAAGATAAATATCGTACATTATACAGGATCTACAGAATAAAAAAGCAGTCATATTCAATAGCATACAGTTCCATGAAATACAATGTACACCTTACAACTGAATTTGATAGCTCAATCTGCTAGAATAATTACTCCAATAACTATTCCTGGCAGAACCAATGTTGGCCAATATATTATGTGTTAACTTTTTCTTTAAGAAACCCTCATTAATCTTTAATGGCAGAACTTGTTTATTTTCTTGATACTGTATGTTCTCTGCTATTTGGTCTTCAAGCTCATAAACAACCGATTGCAATTAGTTCGCTATACATTCATTAATTCAGGACTGGAGGATAAGTATCATGTTATGTAACCTAATTTGAAAAGAAAGAAGATGTAGTCAAGAAAAAAAAGTGTGATAATATCTCCATCCATCCATCTTCTCCCGCTTATCCGTGGTCGGGTTGCGGAGGTAGCAGTTCCAGCAGAGAGCCCCAAACTTTATTTTCGCTGGCCACATCAACC